AAAAATTTACAGATATTAAAGTGTAGTAAATTGTACAGCGTCATAGCATCATATGTTCTGAAAGGAGATTTCATTAAACAAAAACAACGAAGAGGAATATGTACGAGGAAGGCTGTGAAGAAGTTTGATATCTCACGTCCTGAAGAAACACGTAAAAGAATTTATGTGAGACTACTTTTCAATTGTAAGAAATTAACTCATTAACCATCAGCAGTACCATTATTGGGTACTTCAGCTGGTATAAAGATAACTTTAGAAAAATACTAGAGGAACAAGAAGACAAATGGATTTTGCACCTCAAAACACTTCGTCCAGACGGGCTTAAGCACAAATTTAACAACATAGATAGAATTAATATCTAACCCCATAAATCAAGCCCTACCCACATTCCTCACCCACACAAAGCAGAGATGCTTGCAGAGGTGTTGAAGTTTCACATTTATACGCACACCCACAGAAATATATACACATACACACATCACACACACTCTTTAAAAACTAAATGATAACGTACACTTAACATACACATCCTATTCCCAGCAAACAATGAAACTGTCAAAATGATCAAGTAGGGAATTCTTATTCAGGAGAGTCTGCTATAGTCTATCTTAAAAAGAACTTAAAAGAGGCCGTTTGACCAACACAATGACTGACCCAAATTAACGATAAAAAAAGAAATGAAAACTACAGATAAAGTTCACTTTCTTCAGAAACAATCATTCACTCTTGTAGTTCAAGCAGAGATTTGTTTTCTCCTGATGATGGTCATGCTGGCCGAAACTAGTCAAGGAACCTAAAATTGAAATAATAAAACAAAAAACATTAATATACAACCCAGGGTATCTGAAAATCTTAATTTTTTAATATTTTTATTGTTCAAAACACACACACACACACACATATATATATATATATATATATATATATATATAAGAACTTTAGAATGTGCCTGTATTGATATTTGATTTTCCCTCGAGAAATAAACCAGAGGAAAACACTCCATTATCGTTTTCAAGGAGTCGTATCAATTAAGGAATGTGTGGAGAGCTATGTCCTTTTACGTCCTAAAAAGTCAAGACAAAATCTCGGAGTAGGTGACGCGAGGAATATATGTGAGGGACTCCTAAAACCTACTTATTTATTAGACGTTTTTATTTTTGTAATCGAGAAATATTGTCCTAAGAATGTAAGCGAAATATATGTCCTTGAACCAATTAAGAAAAAAAAAATAGGCCTTAGAGGCGTGACTAGTTTGTATTGAAAACCGCTTTTCATGTGTCTGCAATGAAGAAGTATTTCCTCTCACGAGAAATTTGAACAGAAAAATGCAAAATAAGTTTTATTTAGTTATTCATTTTTCTTCTTTGTTTTTTTTTTTTATCAAGATAGCGTTACTCGGATGTTTAAAGAGAGTGAATTGTAAATGTTGATGATTTTAAGAAAATGTGAGAAAGAAAAATTGAGAAGATATAAATGCAAGAAACATAGATAAGACAAAATGAAAACTGACCTGAGTCAGTTGTAAATGTTCTATACATGGAATCATACTAAATCTAACATGGCTCTGAATCGGGAAGAACAAAGAAGTGTTTTAGTAAAACGAGAGCACAAATTCTTCATACATTAGAAGCTAAGCATTGTTTTTCATGTCTATCGCAGTTTCTTCATATCTACAGACTATTAGAAAAGTTATTTTACTGAAATAAGAAAAGAACGTGAAAAATCTATTATTATCAACAATAAAAGGGTGTCTATAAAGTGCTAGATGTTACAAAATTAATATAAAGACTGAAAAGAATGAATGATAGAAAAATATAGAATTATTGAAGAAAGAAAGAAAGAAAGAAAAAGATAAGAATATTGAAGAGAGAAAGAAAAAAGGAAAGAAAAAAGATATAAATATTGAAGAAATAAAGAAAAGACGTAGAAATAGTGAAGAAAGAAAAAAGATAAGATTATTGAATAAATAAGAAAAGAAAGAAAGAAAAAATAGAAATATTGAAGAAAGAAAGAATCAATGAAAGAATGGATGAAATTTAGGTGTATGTAAGTTTCTCCAGGTTTTTGAAAGGTTTTCTACTGTGTATAACAGTTTCTAGTTTTTTTTTTTTTTATTTAGAAAGAGGGCGCTGGGAACTTTTGCACGAATCTGCTAAAAATAAAAAAAAAAGAGAGAGTGCACACGCGCGACAGTGAGAGAGAGAGAGAGAGAGAGAGAGAATAGGATATTAAAGGAAGAAAAAAAGATGGAAGAACATTATATATAAAAAAGAAAGAAAATAAGCGATTAAAATTATTAAAACTAAAGAAAGAAAAAATGAATAAAAAAAGGAAGAAAATAAAATGTTTAAAAAAGTAACAAAGAAAGAAAAAAGAATGAAAGAAATTAAAAAAAATTAAAAGTACAAACTGAGAAAGAAAGATAAATACATTTAAGAACGATATAAAGAAAAAAAGGGAGAAAAAAAAAACAGCATGAAAGAAAATATTTGTATATTTTTCTTGCTCTATACATTGCTTGATTTGAACGGCTTGGTTAAAGGGCTTCACAGCATGTGATTATTATGCAAATGTAACAATATATATATATATATATATATATATATATATATATATATATATATAGGTCCGAGGCGTCAGTTACCCGAGTTTGTTGGTTCCACGGGCTTATTCACCCTGTCTGCTAAAAAAAAAAAAAGAAAAAAAGAAAAGAAAGAAATCTTGTTTCAGGGTAAGGCACTTCAACGACTCGTGAACTATTTGTTAAATAAAAGTTCACTTCAGTTTAGTTGTTACTGTGCTTAGACTGGCACAAGGCTACAATTTGGGCGCACAGTGTGATTCATGCACTACAAGATCTGTAGGATTAATATATTATAAGACAACGCGATCACTGAGTCCAGTGAGGCCCAAAAGGTTTTTGAGCACTTCCAACCACAATTAAATCAATGCCCGGTGGGAAAGTGACACCTCACCATATATATATATATATTGGACATACCATATTTGTCTACAATGACGGTACATTTGTCGCTGACATATTTTCTGCAATTGCCAACGATAGCCTGTCTATATTCTAGTTTCTTTATGAAAGAATAACTCCCCCCACCTCCACCCTCTGAGCTTACTTTTCTATTTAGCGTAGATCTGGCATTTAATTGGTTAATCAAGACATACCCACAAGTCTATTTTTAATTCTAATCTTATGTTCCCCCACTCTTTAACTTTCAGAAATGTGGTAACAATTTGTTTTTAAATTTCCTTAAAAATTATTTAATCACCATCGCCTGAAGTAGAACAATCAAAGTATTGAAGCATGAAAGCTTTTGTGGAGCGATTTCAACATGTTTTTATTAAAATTTCTTATAACAATAATAATATATGTGTGTGTGTGCTTGTGTGTGTGGATGTGTATTTCGACATCAGTAATTCGTAGCTAATATATTCCGTTTTGCAATAGCACTTACTATTTACAATAAGGCAGCCGAAATCTTTGAAAGTGGCTAATAGACGAAAGCCGAAACCCTCGGAATAAATAATCGACTGCGCAATTTCAACCCGCTAATTACAAAAAATCCTTTGCTAGCATACACCAAAAAAAAAAAAAAAAAAATTAAAACAATACAACTGCCTTGTCAGTCATTTTAATGAAACATATATATGACGAATCGGAGAGTTCGAATCCTAGCCGAATTCATTATATTCATTTACGTGCTAATACTCTTGTGAAAGGTATAAATCCATCTCTTCTCTACCAAGATATGGGTAAATAGCAAACCAGACTGTATTCTATTGGGTGGCAACCGGTCTAGGAGAAGAAAAGTTATGAATTCAAAACCTCCGGAGAGTTGTTGTTTTTTTTGTTTTTTTTTTAACCTTGTGGCATACTTTGCACCAGTTCGCTGTATCCGGCTCTTCCAAAAAGTGTGATTGATACTACACATGCCTTCACTACTAGAATCAAATGATATGGGCAGGTAGTATGGCTCTTTCCTTTCTAAGAACTGAGCTGCATCGAAAACGACGGGAAGAGACCAGTAATATATATATATATATAATTGTGTTTGTGTGTGTGTGTGAAAATGATGAGATAAAATGGAAAAAGTTTAGCCTTTGTTCTCTTTTACTTCATCAGTTCAGACGTGCTTTAATCGACTCGGCCACGAAGATCGTCGTGATTAAGCAACGTTGTACTGCCTTTTAATCACATCTTTCTCGTTTAGATTCCCGAAAGCTTATAACAGCTCAGTTTCATATCCGAAACGTAAACAAAGAAATTTTTAAAGAAATAATGGATTTTTCTATTCATTAAATTAATCCGACATATTTTTTTTTATCATTTTAACCGTTATTTTTAGTGAATGCATATATTTCAAGAATATTTTATTTCATTAACCAGCCTGAATATTCGAAAAATCTTATTAAAAAAATGCGCCCTATCAGTCTGGGGCATCTTGAACTTTTTATAAATGTCGCAAAGACAAAACTGACTAGCGAGAATTTTCTTTACTCTCCAAGTCCTTTCATTTCCTCAGCATACCAAATTCGACATAAAAAGAACAAAATGGGTCACATAAATACGTTCTTGATTTTATCTTCTTTTCGTTCCTTTTTGTCAAATTAAATGTGAAAAATTCAAACAGTCTGTGACTTAGATGATCTGATAAGAGCAAGAAGATTTCATCCAGGACCATTTTAAGCTTCATTGTACATGGAATCCGCTTAACAATGACTCGGTCAAAAATGTTTGCATTATAAATGTAAAGAAAAGAAAAACCAATGATACGCACACGTATGTGACTTTCTTTTTTTTTTCTCTCTGTCTTTCTTTCTTTCGTTCTGTCTTTCTTTCTTTCTTTGATAAACTCGTTCATCTTCCTTTTTGCTTGTTTCATTTTTGTCATTATTATTCATATTTTTTTTTTACTTTCTTTCTTTTATACTGTAAGCGTTCCTTTTTCTATTTTTCTTTTTTCTATTATATATCTTCTTTATTACAGTTATCTACGCTTTCTTTCTTTCTTTTGATACTCTCATCATTCTTTCTTTCTTTCTTTCTGTCTTTCTTTCTTTCTTTCTTTTGATAGTCTCATCATTCTTTCTTTCTTTCTTTCTGTCTTTCTTTCTTTCTTTTGATGCTCTCATCATTCTTTCTTTCTTTCTTTTGATACTCTCATCATTCTTTCTTTCTTTCTTTCTTTCTTTCTTTCTTTCTTTCTTTTCTACTATATATTTTCTTTATTACTTTTATCTACCCTTTCTCTTTGTTTATTTCTTTCATTCTTTCTTTGATAATCTCTTCTTTTTCTATCTTTCTTTCTTTTCTATTATATATTTTCTTTATTACAGTTATCTACGCTTCCTTTCTTTCTTTTTATTTCTGTCTTCCTTTTATTGATAATTTCGTCATTTTTTCTTTCTTTATTTCTTTCTTTCTCTGAAAATATTGTCTTTTTTCTATCTCTATTCTATTATTTATTTTCTTTATTACAGTTATCTAGTCTTTCTTTCTTTTTCTTTCCTTCTTTCTTTCTTTTGATAATCTCGTCTTTCTTTCTTTCTTTCTTTCTTTCTTTCTTTCTTTCTTTCTTTGATAATCTCGTCTTTTTTCTATCTTTCTTTTTCTATTATATATTTTCTTTATTACAGTTATGTATGCTTTTTTCTTTCTTTTTTCTTTCTTTTGATAATCTCGTCATTCTTTGTCTTTCTTTTTCTACTATATATTACTCTTATCTACGCTTTCCTTTCTTTCTTTCTTTCATACTCTCATCTTTCTTTCTTTCTCTCATCTTTCTTTCTTTTCTACTATATATTACTCTTATCTACGCTTTCTTTTCTTTCCTTCTTTCTTTCTTTCTTTCTTTCTTTCTTTCTTTCTTTCTTTCTTACTCTCATCTTTCTTTCTTTTCTACTATATATTACTCTTATCTACGCTTTCCTTTCTTTCTTTCTTTCTTTCATACTCTCATCTTTCTTTCTTTTCTAGTATATATATTTTTTTCTTTATCACAGTTATTTACGCTATGGTCTCTTTCTTTATTTCTTATTTTCTTTACTAAACTCGTCGTTCTTTCTTTTTATCTTTTCTACTATATATTATTTTTTTTATCACCGTTATCTACGCTTTCCTCCATTTCTTGGTTTTTCATTTGCTTCTTACTTTCTTAACACATACATTACGAAGAGTCTTTATTCAAGCGTCGCGTTGAATTCATAGCCAATTCCTTGCAAAGTAAACTTTTCAATCTTATAATAGGCGCTCCTTATATACCAACGGTACGATAAGCGTTACAAAATCTTCTCGTGAATTGGAGAACATATCGACCCTGCATTGTGACAAAAATATTTATTTCTTCTTTTCATTTATTTAATTTTTTTTTACTTGATACTCATTTTTAGGAAGATATCAACGAATTCTGCGTAAAAAAAAAACTAGACCTCAGCTTGAATTTTCCAGAGCAGTTTTTATATTTTCTCCTTAGGACCTTATTTCGGCCATTTTGAAACTGTCCTTGACGCTAACAAGTCTTCTTTCTTTATATATAACATAACGTCTGTCAGTTTCATTCACTTTTTTTTCACTAAAACACAAGGGATTACTGGCTGTGGAAGAATTACAAACAGAAACATTACTAAGGAGCGAGAACAAGAGAATAATAATCAAGAAGACAGTAGATAGCAATTGACATTCCATTTAAGTTTTTGAAGATTAAAGTTGGCTGGAAAGCATGGAGCCGGGTGGAAGTTCCACAAGCGAGAAAAGAAACTGCTAGCATAGAACTTACGGTTACATTTAGCCAGCTCAACTGTAAGTTGGCGAAACCTGCGTTTAAATTCATAAAGTCTAAGTACCACAGCGAAAAGCTCACCTGATTCATTGCTATGAACGTATTTATAGAAAAAGGTACAAGGAGGCAACTTTATGGTGGTGGAAAATTGAATGAATAATATTTCTGATTCTTCTTTGGATTTTATCAAGGATCCTTAGATATATAGAAGCAATGTTCTAAGCATGGACGAATGGTATAGTTATAGATATGTAAGATAGAGAAAAATTGTCTTGCACAACACAGTGAACCAACGTTTTTAGCAGCTGACCTGGCAATATAGTCTTTCCATTTCATGTCAGCCGAGAACATTAGCCCGACAAGTAACAACCAGTCACTTTTCTGGATGTTTTAGCATCAGACCTGCTGATGGAAGGCAGAAAGAAGTCTCTCAGGTGATTAATAAGGAACAGTTTAGTTTTGGAAGCGTTAAAATTAACAAATTGTAAGTCATTTTTTAGATCAGCCACCAATTTGACCATATCGAAATGATCAGACATACTATCGAGATAGGAGTAAATGGTTGTGTCATGAGTGTAGATACCAAGTTGAGAGTTGATGGATTCAGCTTTATCAGTGGAATCGATTGAAGAGAGAAGGAATAGAAAACTTATTTCATACACTATTACACAGCCGCCAGTAATCACGACAGCCAAAGTTGTTAGATTCAATATGGTGCCTCATTCTCTCAGCAAACAGTGACTTAGCCCCTTCGAGAACACTTTGTACTGTTATTAACTTTCTGGTCCGTCGATTTTAAATTCCTTTAAAGTTGATATTCTCAACCCGAGAAAGTTACGGTGGAACTCACAATGTGCACTACCCAAGGTTACATCATTCTATCAGTCGTCTTGCACAGCTGTTCTCACGGGTTGGGCATTCATTCTCAGCCATGGATATGATTTTAGTCTCGATGGCGTTAATGAAGTCCCAATTCCGCTTCTTCTTGATCCACATGCTGCTCACCTTCAGGTTAAGTTTGTAGAGTTCAAGGAAGCATCGAATCTGATGTCTGTTCCACAGAGTAGCGGTTCTTGGCAAGAAGTTGTTAGAATTGAACTTCATCGTTGCCAAAGGAATACAAAGTTTGGTTATGAATTTGGTTTGATCAGGAACTGTGTTCATGATCAAACGAAACTTATCAATAATTACATTGGTCACACTACTACATGCCTATCCAGACGATTTACATTGCACCTATCCAACCACAGCTCCATTAGAACCCATTTAAACACACACAAAAACCAAACCTACCAGTCTCCATCCGAAAAATAATTAAATCTCCAATAATAAAAAAGAAAAAAAAACAACACTCAATATCTTTAACTATGAACACGGCCACAATGTGCTGACCGTGTTTGGAAAATAAAACATTCCTATAACACTAGATATACACATAACACAACCCATACATTAAGTTAAAAGTAAAACTAAAATCATCCTTGATAATGGTTAAAAGTAGAAACGAAAGCGATCGGAAATGCAGAACTTTTCGACAGTTTTTATTTACTTTGTGTCCAGAAAAGAAAACACTTGTACGAGCACAAGAAATATTGAATAAAAAGCTTAATCGCAGTCGTCAGTCGCCTTTAACACACACACACACACACACACACACACACACACACACACACACACACACACACACACACACATATATATATATATATATATATATATATATATATATATATATATATATATATACAAGTATTGATGATCCAGCAAAGTTGAATAGTACCTTAAAAGAAAATTTTACCTGGCACTCAAAATAGACATATCTGTTCATTTTCGTATTCTAGCGTAAAGAAAACAATTTCTGAAAAAAAGGTCCATTTGGCAATGATTTTCAAAATGATAGCATTAAAAGAAGCAAAAATCTTTAAAAATATATGAGCCCAGGTCGTTCCAAATATTATAAATATTGGATTTCGGCCGCGATTTTGGGTTCCTTTTTTTTATACAAAGATAATCTTATTTACATTATTTATGCTCGGACTATTTTCCTCATCTTTGTTGCTGTTATCACAGCATTTCGGCCATTGTGTTCTCTGGCTTTCTCTGTGTATATCGAACCACAGGGAAATCTAAACTGAACTCTTTATTTAATCTAGTTGTAGACTTTTCCCGTTCACTGCCCATCCCCAGGGATATCGTCTAGTTCTTAATTTTATTACTACTCACTTTATTGCTCGCTTATTTCTACTAAGTTCAAGTACACACCGTGTCAAGATAACTTTAGTAGATAACTTATTGGTTTTGTTTTTAATATGAGACTTCCTAGAGTAGGATACATGATATTAGTTGAAAAGAAGTTATTTTTAGTTGTCTGAAATATTCATCGCAAGCTATTGTGACAAACCTGTGATAAGACATTTATCGGAACATCGTCATTAATTGATTCTTTTTTTCACTCTCCCAAAGTAAGAAAGCTTCCCTCGTTCTGTCCCAGTGTTGGCAGTGCAATAACTTGTCTTCAATTGATTTTGCGTCTTTTGATGTTCATTCAGTGACTGGCGTTATGTAACCTAGTATTACCTGACGCATGATCAGATTCTAGCACGAGTCTTTACTGACGAGGAAGGTGCTCAGAAACCATGAAGAACAGTTTGGCCGACCAACTATTGTAATCTGGTAGACTTGCATGTCTTTTAGTCAAACAATTGGTGTATCTACTTACATTTATATATTGGTCAGCCTCTGATTTTTTTTCAGCCGCCCTTGTATACTGTTTACGCGGTGCAAACGCAGCATTACAGATGTTTATTTAATCTGAAGACAAACACATTTTAAAATGCCCAGGTCCGCGACAGATGTTATTCAGAAATTGAGTCTGGGGATTTTGTCTGTTATCTGTTATGCAGCTCTTTCATATTGTAATGGCATTTCTGGTCTTTCATCAGAAGCTTTAATAAATATAATGCCTGACTAGACTGAATTTATATTTTGCCGCTTTCTCATTTAAGAATTATGACGAAAATTTGTTTACGGTAAAAATTGATGAGTTTTGTCTTTTACTGAAAAGCTAGATAGATTGCTACCGCATGGATTGCTATGTTCTTTGTATTTTCTTACTACACAGGCGAAAATAATTATGGCATCGAATAACATAAGACACGAAGAATTCACAGCTGATATGCATGTACTAATCTGTTATGTAATCTAATCTATTTAAAGTTGTTTCGAGTGCATACATTAAAACTATATTTTATCATATATATATATATATATATATATATATATATATATATATATATATATATATATTGTAGTCTCTTATATTAGAGGAATGCTGGACAATTTCCTCATGAAATAAGAGTCTACGGTCAAGTCATGCTAAAAACACCTGTTCCCGTTCAATGACCAAATTTAATCAGTGTTGATCCCGCTCAGTACTTAGATGGGGAACCGTTTTGGAACAGCTGCTACTCTAAGCAACCCCATACAATCTGAAATATGTTTCGGTTTTAAATAACCCATAAAGGGTTGACAAGCCGTGAAAAACAAACCAATCAATCAGTCATAAAATAAGGAAAGACTTGATGCAACGAAAATGTCATCGATGAAGGTTAATTGATTGACTGATTCCTTTTCTACGGCTTATCAATCCTTTGCTGGTTACTTAAAACCAGATAATACTTTTTAAGTTGTAAGAATTTTTTTGGAGATAATGATGGTTTTAGTGTTACAAGTGTTACTGATTAGCCCATAGGTTTAGGGAGAAGAGATTGATTCATACCGTTTCTAAGGGCATTTGCGAGTAAGTGAATATAAGGAAATTGGAATTCGGCTTTCCGATTAACAGTTTCGTGTCATTATTCATTACACCAACTATATATCCGAACTTACAGAACCTGGTATTACCAAGCGGTTACCCATATACGAACTGACCAGACTCAACATTGCTTAACTTCGATGACGAATGATGTAAATATCAAGGAGAGACCAAGTGACAAATAAAATTTTTTTATGGAGAATAGGAATCGAAAAGGATCCATTGCTAATATTCAGAAAGCAGTATCTGACATTTTCAGGACACATAACGAGGAAAAGAGGTTTAGAGAATTAAACACACATGACTCATCAAAAGAATGATATGCAGAGGAAAAAGAACAAAACCCCAAATGGGGTGGGGGCTATATGATGAATCTTTTGTTGAAGGCAAAAAAGATGAAATTGTGGAAAAACAAGAAAAAGGTAGAATCCTTAACATACCTTGTGATCTCCTTTAAAAACCTATTTTTCTTACCTTTTCCTATTTCCTTTGTATTAAGATGTTGTCTTCAGCATCGAATAGACAATGGTCTGCCATCACTAAGTTCCTCCGTCCAACAGTCCAGTAGAGACAAACACGACACACTAACATGATTTCAAGCGTCGTGAGAACTGGAACGTAACGCCTGTGTATCGTTGAATACAAAAAGGTCAGCGAAGCGATACAGAATTTGCCGCCAATCCAGGCAGAACCAGAAAATAATTGGAATTATAAGTCCAATGTCACCACCGTCTCTGCTGCTGTTCCAACCCCAATAAATGACAAATGTCGATATGAATACAAAATCTACAATTGGTCATAGTTTTCAAGCGCTGACCCTGTGGGAATGAAAACACAAACTTCGTATTTTATAATACTATTACGCCGATGTTTTTGCATACCTCTGTGTATGTATGTAAAACTGTATTTTTGCATGCATCTGCATAGAGGAGTATGTCTTTGTGTTCGTGTGTGTATGTGTGTGTGTGTGTGTGTGTGTGTGTGTGCATTGATGTGTATATCTGTATGTGAAGATAACGAGACAAAGTGTAAATGTTATAAACGACACGTTTCGCCGAGAGCGTCATCTTCTTTTGGGTTCTTCGGGTTAGAATGAAAAAAGACAAAACCGTATGTCATGAAAATGAGTTAGGATTTCGGAATATAAGTGGGGATATATATGTAAAGGTGAATGCATGGTGTGGTGCAATGGATAACGGCTCGAACTGAGAAATTGCAGAGCGGAGTTCAAATTGCAGTCAGGTTGGTTATATTCACACATTGTATAAACAGGCGGTCGCCGCTTGATGTTGACAACAGTGTTCACTCATATATATATAGTAAAGAAAGATTGTCAACATATACTTCTTACAAAATGTCGGTATAATAGACTGATGAAAGAAACTGGAAAAGACAGAATAATACTGATTTTGAAGGCTATTTAGACATAATAGAAGTACGAGAAAAATGCTAAACATCGTAAAATTAACATTGTCTAATAGCCTAATAATATACAACAATTATTATTATTATTTTTATTTTCTTTGATTTCTGGCGTTTGCACATTTCTTACCGGGTCCCGCCCAGGGACCTAAGGTTAGAAATGGCATCATGACACTTTTTACTGACAAAAAAATAAAAAATTACATAGATAAAGCCCTTCGTAAATTGTGGGTTGTACTTGTCAGAACAATTTTTTGTATCTCTTTGAGGCATGGACCTCCAGGAATTCCTTCAATTAGTCTACTGGAATCTTTTCCAACCAGTCCTAGGGCTCCAACTACAACAGGGATTGTTCATGTTCCCATATGCCACATTTTCGAGATTTCTATTTCAAGGTCCTTGTATTTTGACAGCTTTTTGAATATCTTCAAAGATATATTGCAGGGACTGGCATAATTATTATTATTATTATTATTATTATTATTATTATTATTATTATTATTATTATTCTGTTTTTCATCGGCCTACCAAAACAAAAGACCAAACCACATGACAAAAACGAAACACTTTATTGGAAATGGCTACCGAGAGTTTCACCAAATTACCGAACCAGGTAAACAGACTCGAAATAGTGTAGCCTCGTGTCAGACTAACCTGACTTTAGTTAAATAGGATGCACACTGTTGTCGAAAAGTGGGTAAAAACTAGTATGGCAATGTATTCCTGCTAATGTAATGATTTCGATTATCATTGAGGCTCCACATTTATAGCCTTTTGTCAGACTATGTTAAATGTAGTAAATATCGCTAAACGTTTTTCAAGAAATTCCAGAAGAAAAATATTTCATTCATTGATATTTTTATTTAGTAAATGTAAGTTTGGAGCAAGGCTAAAAATACGGCGTTCCCGATGAGGATCGAATGTAACACAAAGACTGACATTAACTGTGCGTTAATTCTTTATGGCGATTATGTTTATTATTTCTAAAATACGTAAAAGGTTGACTGAGGCATTTTTCCCATTTATTTTCTTTTTTTTTTTTTTGCTTTTCTTTCTTTTTGCGCCCATTTTGTTCTTTTAAATTTTCTTTTTTTTTTTAAACATTTTGATTTAACTTTTCCTTTATTTTTCCTTTTGTTTTTATTCTTTCTTTTTTACTCCTTTTTTCTTTCGTCCATTTCCTTAGTCTTTTTTCTTTTTTTTTCTCAGTTTTTGTTCCACATTCTTGGTTTGCTTGTCCTTTTTTGGCTGATTTTCGTGTTCTTTTCTTTTTCTTTTTTTTTTTTTAATTTTTCCTTTTCATGCTTTTAATTCTTTCTTTCTTTCTTAAATTTTTCTTTCATCTATTTTCTAGTTTTTTCTTTTTGCTTTTCTTTTTCTTATTCTTAGTATTTCCTTTTCTTTCTTCCTTTCTTTCTTTTTCTTGTTCATTTCATCTTTCTCTTATTTCGTTTCATTTCCATCAAACGATTTTTCTTTTCGTCTTTCTTCTTCACATTGTCATTTTTTTATTTCTTCGATTTTCTTGGGGTTTTTTTTGGGGGGGGGATTTCTCTTTCAAAATTTGGTCTTTCTTCCCTTCGTTCATTTTTTTTCTTATTCTCTTTCTTTTTCTTCCATTTTCAGTTAGTATAAACCTCTCTTTTTTCTTTGCTTAAAAATAATTATCCATTCTATTTCAATCTGTACCTACTTTTGAGGGCATCCGTGACTCCTTTCGTTATTCAAAGTGTATAAGTGTCTACCAATGTCAGTCAAAACAAATAATCAGTTCAGACAACGCTTCCCGCGTTTAAAACAAGAATTACGGAAGATAAAATGAAGGCTTGGGCTTAAAGGACCCAATTTCTTTTGTTTTTGCTTATATTATAGTTCGTGCTGTTTAGGATATCTCTTACTTTAGGAAGTAATGGAGGAACATGTTTTCAACGTGTCTACATAAACACGTTTTCGACCGTCGATTGAAAATTTATTTTCTCTTTCAAAAATGTCTCGGAGAATATTCCGTTTGTGAATGATACGCAGTCGACAGCCGCTACCGAAGATGTTGGTAATATATTTTGAGTTGATAAGTAGAGATAAAGGACCGTAGAAGGCCGTTAGTCAAACGTGACCTGTCGAGCTTAAATGGAAAATAATCCCTTCCTCTTTACGCCACACACAGGCTAAAAAACTCTAAAGAATTGAAATGTGTCAATTTTATTTTGCTAAAGTTTTTTTTTTTAATTTTATTGTCAAAGATTCCTGTTATGGCGGCTTTCAGAAGAGAGCATTGGACTGATGTTGGAAATTCCAAGTTCTACATTTAAAGCAATCCAAAAGAAATAAAACGGTGCCTCGCCGTGGAGCAATTGTCAATTAACCAGTTATGACAAACACTATTATGGAAACAACTTATTTTCTTACTAATTGCTTCACAGATAAGGCCTTGTATCAGATTAATGTCAACTAAGAAGCGATCCTCAATGTAGAACAATAATTAGTTAGCTGGTATCGCAGACTTTTATGATTTGGGCTATCATTGGGAACTTCAAATTTCTGGCCTTTTGTCAAACTAAACTAAACTAAATTTAGAAAATTATCGTTAAGAAAACAATTTGAATATTTCAAAAGAAAATGAATATTTCTTTCCTTACTGTGAGGTGGTTAGTACATTATTAAAATAAGTTAAACGTAATTGATGACATGCTTAGTACAATAATAATAATCCAAGTGGATCCCAATAATATCAAATATTAAAATTGATCCACAAAAAGAGCTCAATTTATTTATTATAACAGGGCATAATAAAATAAAAACAAAATCCCAAATTACCTCATATGAGTATAGATCTATTTCAGCCAAGGCGAAGTTGGTAGGTCTTATTCAAACCCGGTAGATGGACTATATATATATATATATGGGGCAACGGTGGAGTAGTGGATATATATATATATTAAAGAATATATATATATATATGAAAGAATATATATATATATATATATATTAAAGAATATATATATATAAAGAATATATATATATATATATATATATAATATATATATATATATATATATATATGAAAAATAATATATATATATTAAAAATATATATATATATATGTATGTGAAAAAAAAATATATATATTTAATTTATGAAAAACTTGGTAATCTGTATAAGTGTTATCTGATGATCCAGCGTCCCTTAAAAGGGCTCTGGTGAAATAAATTATTATAATGGAACCTTAAAGTGGTCTGTTTTTCTTTATATATATATATATATATATATATATATATATATATATATATATATATATATATATATATATATTCTTTTTCACCGTTCTTTTTCACTCTTTCTTTCCTGTCCTGATTTCCCGTACACAATAACCATAATAAATAAAGCGAAATTTCAAGAAATCCGCCATTTTTTGTTTGTTTGTAACCTCTAATTTGTGGTTTCATGTAAAAAGCAGTGAATACGCCATTTTTATTTCTCGTTGCACTTAAATGACATTGCGATTTAATCAACCATATTTAATTCGTTTGTTTTTCTCTTTTTTGCTTTACAGAAACATGCAACGTTGAAGGCATCCCTGCTGGTCATATTAACTGCTGTCCAAATAACAAGTAAGACATTTCTCATTTGATTCCTTCATATTTTTCATTAGATTTTTCTCCTTGCACAAAGTGCGCATGAATATAATCTTTCACTTTAGGTCCATTTATTCGGACATTTCTACAGGCACGCACGACGCACGCACACACGCACAAACACACACACACACACACACATATTGCACTAATGGACAAAAGCAAGTAAACAAATATATATGAGTGGGTGGGTGTGTAATGTTTTATGCATACACGCAAACACACATATGCGTACATACATAGATATGCATTTACACACAAACACATGACACACACACACACACACACACACACACACACACACACACACACACACACACACATATATATATTTGAGCAGAAACCTTTCTTTTATACATGTTTAATTGAATGTAACAAAGAAGGAAAAGCTTTTTTATTAAGTTTTTTATGTTCTTTCAATTTTTCCTATTTTAGTGTCTAAGGGAATTATATAAACCGTAAAAAATTGCATTTAATGATGTTTCGTTAAATATGACAGACAAAGAAAAACTGATGACTTTTTAATTAGTTTTTCCCGTATTCTTATATTTTTCCGTTTAGTTGGAGTAAGGAAGTGCGGAAATTGTCCGTATTGTCGGCTGTCCCAAGTGATTTCGGCCACTTTAGCCATTTTGAAAGGGGGTTGTTTTTAAGTAGTGTTAATTAGTTTTTCTGTTTTTCTGTTTAAGATTTAGTTGAAAATGGCTAAAAAATGTCTGAAAGCAAGTGGAACGCTTGGAAAGTCACCAGTGATGAAATGACCAAATCTCTTGGTACTGTTTTCAAGAAAGCTGCAAAATGTGTCCCAAATAGCTTTCAGCGACATTAATGTCCGGAACGTAAATGTACAACTCACGAAGGAGATAAAAATTGAAATAAAAGCAAAAATAAAAGAAAAAAACTGGAAAAAATCGAGACTAAATGGAAAACTGAACCACTTCATAAAAAATATTCCCAAAAGAAAAAAAAAAACAATGATGTCGATATAACTACGACACACCATTCACTTTCTGCATCTGGCCTGAAATCTGAAGCAGACGAGTTTATAGCTGCAATGCAAACAAGATCAAAGTAGAAGAACAAAGCAGAATGCAAAATACAATCGATGAAGACCAATTCTGCTTCATGATATTATTTAATGACAACACTTGGCCACATGTTTCTAGTATGACACTGTAGACTTGCAAGACGAGATTTTGGCACATGCACAATATTCTACTGATCTCTCGCCTAATGGCTCCCACTTTTTCAACCATCTTAGCAATATTTTAAGCCGAAAGGCATTCCGTTGCAAATATGGAGAAACTGCATTCAGAGATTTCTTGGCGCCCAAACCTTTAGAGTTTTTTTGTAAAAGCATAAATATTGTACCTTGATAGCAGAAATGCACATGTTCGTATTTTGACTAAACGCAGTTTCGATATTCAGGAATAAAAGTTGATTCTAAAAATCAGTGTGGCTACACGAACGATTGCTTCAAGCCGGGATTGAAACTCGACCGATTTGGTATCGGTCAGACATCATACCCCTAAGCTATACCGTAACGTATTATATACGAGACGTATACAAACGCCAGTAGCCAAGAGGGCTCAATTCGTAATTGAATTGCGATGCGTTAATAGCAGAAGCAGCCATTATTTTTAATATTACCCTTTCCTTAGGGTGTTCAATCGAGTAACAAGAGTGTAAATAAGTTATCCTCTCGTCTGATATATATATATATATATATATATATATATATATATATATATATATATAAAAAGGCGAGAGGAAAACTTATTTATTGATATTATCCTTTTACAGATATATTCTTAGTTATATCTGAAATTTAAACACACACGCAAACACAGACGTTTATATAAATAAATCGAGAAACTAGATAAATATTTTGACCTTGACAGAGGGCTGAAGAAAATGTGGAACTTAAAGGCGACTATCGTACCAATTGTTATCGGAGCACTGGGAAGAGTTACGAAGTACTTAGATTATAATATTATTTTTAGTGGACACTCGTATTTGAGCGGCCGTTGCTATTTCTTCATTAAAAAGTCTATTTATTTATTTTCACCTACCGGCCTGAATTATTAAAGAAAAAATTTCCCCTTTCAGCATGAATCGAACCCTCATATATATATATATATATATATATATATATATATATTATTTTTTATTCTCTATCATATGTGAACAAATTATGCTTTTGAATCTCAAATTAGACGTCTTAAAATCCTGTTTGAGAATAGTTTTCTTCTTTTTTTTCCTCTCTCTCTTTCGTAATAACAACCAGAAAATATTTAAATTGATCTGGACGTTTTCCTACTTAAATATCCAACAACTTAATTTACGATTAATTTATTTACGTTTCAATTATGCTTCAACGTCTAAATCAGTCAAAATTTGCCTGACCTCAGATCTTTTTCTTGAAACTGCTATGAGAAACAATCTCGAATCTCGATTTATACTCTCGTCCCATTTTTTTATATCTTCATATGGGTTATTTTTTTTTTTATTACTAATATTATTATTTTTAGCTCGCGTTTTCAATTCAGTTGTAACTAGTGATTTTCATTAGAGATCAAGGGACAACAATTCTACTCAATACTCATGGATACTCCTAGCTGATTTTAGCAGCGCTGTCGCCTGAATGTTCTGGATGTCCACCACTGATTCTTAATACTTTTGCCTAAGTACTTCGGAACTCTTCCCAGTGCTCCGATAACAATTGGTACGATAGTCACCTTTACGTTCCACATTTTCTTCAACCGTCTGTCAAGGTCGAAATATTTATCTATTTTCTCGATTTGTTTTATATCCTGATGGAACAGTGTTATTCGACGAATTCGAAGCATTCTTTTCTCATTATTGACATTTTGCACCAACAGTAACTTGAGATCAAGTGACAACGTCTACTGAATACTCCAGTATTCTTTCCAGAATGCTAACTGATTTTAGTAATGCTGTCATCTTGATTATTCTTTGGATTTCCAATATTTTCCGCCGTTTTTGGATTTGAGGAATTGTTACAGACGCACCAATAACGATAAGCTTTCTTCCATCTTTACACATCATCTTCAGTTCTCTTTGGTCAGATATTTTCCAAGCATTTCATGTTTTTCCATTTCCACTTTGTGATCTGTTGAAACAAGAATTTTCAACATCTGATATTTTTTCCTTTGTTGACGTTGTTTAGATCAGGTCCTCTTGCGTTTGTTTCAAACTCCAAAATCCCGGAGAAGTTTATTTTTTATTCTCTAAAACAGATTTAAGTTTGAGTATATTCCATTGTTTTGAATTGTTCAGTGGTAGTCGTTTGTGAAATTCGTAGTGGATTTCCATTCCCACCCACTCATGCATATTTTAGTATTCTTTCTTGATCAGTTTGCTATATTCATTTATGATATGATTGATTGTCTTGTCTCTTCACACAAACTGCAATTGCTGTTTTCCTGTGTTTTGTCTATTGTCTCTTTCAAATAATTGGTTCTTATAGAGTTTCTCTCAACCACCTCTAATAATAATTCAGTATCTCTCTTCAGATGTCCCCATTACAACCATGTCAATGTCATTTCATCTTAAATTAATTCAATTTGCCTCTTGAACTGTGCAGTTACTTTTATTTCCATTTATTCCAAGGGATTTTCCTTTTGGGATTTCCTACTTCTCTCATCTATTACAGCTTTTGGCAGTTATAATTGGCATTTTATGTTTCTGGCTTTGGTTAGCAGAGTTGACATAGTCTTTAATCTTGATGGGTCATATTCAATACACTTTTCTTTACACGTATATTTGCAATTAAGTATTAAATTTGCATTCGTTTGACGAAGCCTATCGTTAGTCTGTAGTTATTTCCAAGGTAAATGTTTATAACTTTTTAAATTATTTCACCCCAAGCAAGGCATTAAAGCCACTAAGATATAAGGGGATTCGTGAGTGTGAGAGAATCTGAGAGAAATTAAGGACATAGAACAATAAAAGAACAGGAATTAAAAAGACGGAAGAGTAAACAGAGCGCGTTTCATGTTATACATTTTTGCTTTTACTTTGTTTTATCCTGCAGTCTGCAAGGACATAGATATCTACTATCTGAGAAATTCTTTTCTCTTTATTGTTGATAACTAGATCCGGTCTTCTGGTCAGGATTGAGTGATCTATTTGAAACACAAATGGCAGAAAATCCCCACACAGGCCTTCATATTTTCTCTCGGACAACTTGATATATTCGCTTATTATATGATTGATGGTCTTATCTCTCTCTTTCTCTCATCACACAGTCTGCAGTAGAAACACAGTTGTTTCCCTTGGTGTAGTAATATTTGTTGCCTTTGATTTATTTCATGCATTGGCATGTTCATGCCAAATGTCTGGTGGCTATCACTGGAAATAATGTGACAGCAAGTCTCTCCAATACTCCAGTACTTTCCTTGGGATCAACATTTTCCGATTCTCCTAAACATGTTTCCCGGCTCTCTGGAGCTGTTCCAAGTACTCCATCAATAATCGACACTACTCTCAACTTCATAGTACATAATATTTTTTCTCTGACAAATTATTTGTCTAGTTTTTCACCTCCCTTTATTTCTTCTAAGACAACAGCAGAATCTGAAACATTTTCTTCTCTAGGTTGATTGTAATTGTTGATTGTGATCTTCTGGGCCGAATTGGGAGGTCAATTTTAATCACAAACGCCCAGAATTTTTTCCTATTAAGATGGTTTTTGGATTTAAATGCATATTAGATCAAATTCTAATCATTTGCATATTACCCATCATCCTTTTCAGCCCAGTCAGAAATTGCTCGCTTTTAATCTTCTGGGAGAAACATTTTCATTTTCCATCTGTATGGCTGATGCTAACCTCCAGGAAAATGACACATCGTGACTTCTCGGATTGACAGTTTCCGCTGACATGAAATGTGATGAATATATTGAATCCATTGTTAGGTCAACTGCTAAGAAAGGTGGTTCACTGTGTTGCTAGATAAGCTTTTCTCGTACATAAGTCTACTATGCTTTGAATATTGATGTCACATCTGGTCTGGTGCTGCTGTTATATATTTAGAGATTCTTGATAAAATCTAAAGAAGAATCTGCAATATTAATGGTTCAGACCTGGCATCTCGGCTTCAGTCACTTGTGGAACTCTCTTCTGGCTTCTTGCTTCTCAGTCAACTGTGATCTTCAAAAATGTAAATGCAGTGTCAATCGTTACCTTCTGCCTTTTTAATTCTTGTTCTTTTATTGTTCTCTCTTCTTAATAATGTTTTTTCTTTTACCCATATAGTATCACACTCAGTAACCTTCTTGTGCCTTAGTGCCTTTCTTGCCTTGCTCGAGTAAAATGATTAAAAAAATTTATATTGCCTTTTGTATTCTAATTTCCTTCCTTGTACTATGATATGGTTTTAGAATAGAAAAGTTTTTACCCGATTAAAGCCAAATTAAATATTCATCCTTTTTGAATAGTAGGATCAGCTGCGCCTATATTAAATAGAACCATTTACTTACGGTTTCATCTTACCAATTCAACTGTGAATTGTTGAGATCTTGCTGCCAATCTAATACTACTCTGTTTTTAATTCCATGGTAAATGTTCACATATTTTTAATCATTTCTCACCAAATAAAGCAATAAAGTCACTAAGACACAAGGCGAGTTAATGAGTGCGAGAGAATAAGAGAAAAAGGGAGAGAACAATAAAAGTACTGGAATTAAGAAGACAAAAGATAGCGATTGACATCGAATTTACATTTTTGAAGATCAAAGCTGTCTATAAAGCAAGAAGCTGGAAGATAGCTCCACTGGTGAGAAGTGTGAGAGAAGAAAATATTAACATAGAACTTACTAGCGATTCTCAACTGTAAAATGACGAGACCTTACCGCCAATCGAGTACTGCGTTTAAATTCATAAAGCCTAGGTACCGAAGAGGAAAGCTCATTAGAACAATTACTATGAAAATATTTATAGAAATAGATGCACTCCATTCTCTAGTGCTACGTTTTTGTTCATTCTTTAAGGCACGCCAAGCTACTTCTAAGGAGTCAAATCATCCACATTTCCTCCATATTTCAAGTGTAAGGAAAAGGTTCGACTCAGTTGGATTTTTATCAGTATTTAATAGTTATCTATTCATCTTATCCTTATAATCTTTACTTTCATTTCTTTCATCCATATCAAACACCTCATTCATTAGAATCTTTTTTAACAGTTTCTCTCTATATTGAGAGGTTCCAGAGCCTTGTATTCGTTGATATTTCACATAAGAAATGATTTTGACGTATTTGTTTAATAAATCACACTTGTGTTAATATAGACTACACGGAGAGAGAATCTAAGAAAAGAAATCATTAGTTCCAACTTATTGAATCTTTTTATTTACATTCTCTCTTATCGACGATTCAATTTGAAAATTCTGTTTTGCTTTTTCAGTCTCCAGCCAAGCAGTTCTGACCGTAGAGACAAGCGCTGAAGGGTGTAGTGTGAAAGGAAAAGTGTATCGACTGGGACGGCCATTCTCGTTCGTCAATGGATGTTACCGATACAACTGTAATTGTCACACGAATGGATCCTTTGTCTGCCCTCCGGAGAACACACAGGATATTTGCCGACAAGAAGAAAACGGTAATCAATTTATATACTATCTATTTTCATTGCCCAATCACCTTTTTCTGTCTCAAATAATTCACTCTATAGTTTACCTGGTCAGAATTTCCTCTTCCTTTGAAACTGTATTCACAGACGAACCATTTAATTCTATGAATCATTCCCAAGAAAATATCTTAACTAACTTCCAAAGGATAAAATATATTCATCTCAGATTTGTTAGGAAAAGGTCATAGAATCATAGTAGATTTTTATTAAACAGTTTTAAAATACATTATTTCATTGGTGATGCCATGTCTCAAAACCTAATACTATTTTATTATTGCCATTACATGATAGAGAATTGCAGATAGTTTGATCCTCACTAAGTGCCTCACTTTCATGATTTCGTACCAATCTAATAGTAAATACATATAAATGTCAGATGTTAGCCGTGGAGCAATGGCTAATAGGTTGAAACTTGCTTGTTTTTATTGCCGTTACATGATAAAGAACTCTAGTGAGTTTGATCCTCACTAGGTGCTTTACTCGCATGACTCTGTGCCAGGCTAATAGTAAATATATATAAATGTCAGAACTTATCCGTAGAGGAATTACTGATAATTTGTTTGTTTTTATTGCCATTACATGAAAGTTAGTTTGATCCTCACTAAGTGCATCACTTCCATGACTCCTTGCCAGTCTAATACTAAATGTATATAAATGTCTGACTTCTTTTATAGAGTAATGATTAGTAAGCTAATCTTGCAAGGCATTGGTAGTGCCTTACTTTGTATTTTGGATCCAAACTCTCTCTCTCTCTCTCACACACACACACACATTTACACTCACATTCTCATACACACATATCGTCTCATCAGGATCTTTTCAATCCTTTTGAATTTTTCGTCTAAAAGATTTAATAAAGAAGAGACAATCATTTTTTAAGCTTCTAACAAAAGTTCCAGTTCTCCAAATAAATATTCCAAAAGATGGCTATTATTTTGAACTTTTTAGTTCTTTTAGTAGATTTTGAGCAAATGTTGGTCATTATTTAAAAACTTCCTGTTGTATTTTCTTATTCCTAATTGGTCATTGCGTGCAATATTGAGATAAAATCTCTCCGGGCTTGAGACATGCAATGGAAGCTCGTGACCAAATAATCACAATCCTGTTAGGAGATCATGAAAATTACACAAGCAGTTTACATCTTTTATTCTACTGCGATTTTATTCTCAAGTTTTCAGAAGGAAGGGAGGAGGCATATGTAAGGTCTGCTCAGCATAGTTACAGTACAAACCAGAGGTGGGCTCTGTGGGTGGTGAGCAAATGTGCCTAAGGGAGCGTCTGCAATAGAGATTGGCTAGCCGCCCTAGTAGACGGGTGTCCTCGTATACGAGTGGCCAGCTATTATTATTATAATTATAATTATTATTATTATATATGTCTACTAATTCTTATAATAAGACAGTATGTATGTATGGAGAAGGAATATGCATACACATACTAGCAAAAAACCACACGCACACACAATGCACAAAAATGGAAATAGATCTAAGATACAGGGGTCATAAAAAGATAAGAACAAAGACATCCTTCGTTGGCCTTTCACAGATTAATCTTAATTGTTTTATTACTCCTTAAGCAGAAGAAGAACCAGTCCAAGAAAAACGTTTGGGTTACAAGGAAAAGACAATAATTAAACATCGAAAAACATTAGGAAAATTAATTCCTTTTAATAATATGTGGAAATAACCACTCTTTGTCTGATGAAGATCGCGAGACCGGAAATACACGTATCAAAAATATGGCAAATAAATTATAATATATATATTTTTTACATCCACATTATAACCAAAAACGTTTGCGGTTTCTCTCTTCTTATATATATATATATATATATATATATATATATATATATATATATGTATGTATGTATGTGTGTGTGTGTGGGAGCATATTTTCTTTCTTAAGTACGCAAGCCGATAGATGTGATACACATTTTTTCTTTAATTAAAAAGTGGATGTCTATTTTAATCACGGATATCGACAAAAATAACGATTTATTAACGTCAAATGCACCGCACACGATAACATTAAAAATTCCTCTGCGTGTAAAATCGACCACAGTAAGACTCAAACCTATTTTTGATAGTATGAAAGCGATAGTTCTAATCACTTGGCCACGCGCCCATACGTACCGTACGTACACATAAACACACAGACGCACAGACACACACACACATATATATATATGTGTGTGTATTGTGTATTTAGGCAGCAATCCCTCTTTTATACATGTTTCCTTAAAGACGACTGACAAGGTACTTCGATTAAGCTTTTTATTTAATTTTTCTTGTGCTCCTTCAAGTGTTTTCTTTTCTGGACACAAAGTGTGTAGAAACTGTCCAAATGTTCTGTAATTCCGTGCACATTCGGCAATACTTTTGCCATTATCAAGATTGATTTTATTTTACTTTTTAACTGAATGTAAGGGTTTTGTGAATGTATCTAGAGTTATAGGAATGTTTTATTTTCCAAACACAATCAACAAGTTGTGGCCGTGTTCGTCGTTAATGTTAAGTGTTGGCTTTCTCTTTTTTATTATTAGGTCTTCCATTATTTTTAATCATTTTTACATGTGGATGGGGCTATTATGCTAATATTTTCTGCTAGTATGTTTCGGATGGAGTCTGATAGGTTTTTGTGTATGTTTAAATCGGTTCTAATGGAGCCAAGGTCAACTAGGTGTAATGTATGACGTCTGGATAGGCATTTAGTGTAATCACTATAATTATTCATGAGTTTGGTTTGATCAGGAACACTGTCCCTTAAGGGTATTTGAATTCGTATGTTTGTTCTTTGTAGTTTTGATTTTATAGGTGTTTTGTTATTTTTGAAGATAGGTTTAGCAGTTTTAAATTTTTTGTAATAGATAATTTAATTTTTTTTTTGTTCGGGTCAACTGGGGTAGTGTATTTTTTATGATATTTCTAAATGACGATTCATCTTGTTTATAGTTGACGTGTATATGACTTTTGTAGATGTTAATATTATTGTTATTGTCTGTGTGTTCAATATCGTTATTATTTACTTTGGAAAGAAACAGTCTAATTTGGTGGTCGATAAGGTAGTTAGGAAAACCATTGTTAACTAGTGTCTGTTTTGCATTGTTGAGTTCTTCAAGGAAAAGTAGACGAGAGGATGAATTCTCGTGTGCTCTTTTTAGGAAATTTTTTATCACTGCTATTTTATATGTAAATGGGCATTCATTCTTAAAATTAAGGTGTTAAAAGTTTCTGCTAGTAAGTTATATATATATATATATATATATATATATATATATATATATATATATATATATATATATATTAGTATAGAAAAGCTTTTGATTTCAAAGTCATGAAAAATAAGCAGATCAGGAGTAAATGGTTGTGTCGTCAGCGTAGATACCGAGTTGAGAGTTATAAAAATTGAAAATAGAGTCGGACCAAGGACGGAGGCCTGGTGGGACATCTGCGTTTGTACGAAAGACAAGTGGCCGTTAAGAATAACCTACATTTTACTATTTGATAGGAAAAAGTGGATCAATTCAAAAATGTTCCTGGAGACACGGTAACTTTTCCGCTTGTGGAGAAGACTTGTATGCCAAACTCTGTCAAAGGTTTTCGAGATGTTCAATGCTACAGCTCAGGCTTCACCGTTTTTATCTTACCGCCTGAGAGACTCTTTCCGCACTTATCGTCAGTACATCAACAGTTGAATTGGAGAAACAAAATCCATATTGCTTGTCAGGAAAAAAAAGGCCTGCGATGAGAGATGATGAATCAATTTGGCATTGATTAGGGACCCTAAAAGTTTCTCAAAATGAGGTAGAAGGCTAAGAGACCAATAGTAGGAAAGGTCGGACGGTTCACTGGAGTTCTTAAAACCTAGAACAACAGATGATGGCTTCTAGCAGGCAGGAAGGCGGCGTGGCATTTATTATACAGCTTAGAGAGAACAAGAGAACGCTTCTTAATGGCTATTACAGGGATACGATCAGGTTCACATGTTTTGTGGGGATCCAGGTTAGAGATGATCGTAGAAACTATGGAAGGGATTATATGCATGTCATTCAACAGAGAATCAGGAATACTTCAGCTGAGTCAAGAGTCGAGTTTAAGGAGAATTTATGGGCAAAGCCTTCAGCTTTAACAGTAGAGGATGATAACACATCAAATTCATTGAAGGGGGGGGGGGCGAAATTTTTAAAGTTAAAACAAGAAACTGAGTTCGAAAGGAAGTACAAAATTCTTATTTTGTAAGATAAAATAAAAGGAAAAAACAATTCGTAAGAAAGTAGATAATTGTTATTTTATGTTTAGTTCGAAAGGAAGTACATAATCGTTATTTTATGTTTAAAGTTAAAACAAGAAAGTTACACTTTGGAAGAAAATACATTATCGTTTTTGTATATAAAATCCACATATAAAATACAGTTTAAAGGAATTAAACATTGTTATTTATTGTTAACAATCTAAACAGAAAAATACAATTTGAAAGAAAATGCATAATTGTTAGTTTGTGTTTAAAATCAAAACGAAAGAAGATGCAATTTCAAAGAAATTTCATAAATACTTTTAAATAAAAAAAATTTTAAAGGAAACATAAGATTGTTATTTTTTATTTAATATAAAAAGACAAAGCAGAAAAAGTTGGAAAAGAAGAACTTAAATTTTTATTATATATTGAAAACAAAGAAAATAAAATAAAAACATTCCGTTTGAAAGGACATTATTTTTATATTCAGCTTAAAATAAAAATAAAAAAGGTACAGCATCTAATGAAGAAAACGATTGTTATTTTGTTTATAAAATCCAAACACAGGCAAGATGGAGTTTAAAAGAAAGGACTTAAAGAAAATTAAATCAAGACAAAACTTTGAAAGGAAATACTTAATTGTTAATTTGTATTTAAATGAAAGCAACGAAATAGACTTTCTTGGCTCCTATATTGTTTTTAATTTCCATTATGGACTCTCCCGATGGCATCAGCTC